AACAAGATACACAAAAACATGTTTTTAATTTCTTGTAAAGAAATAAGTTCAACAACATTTTCCAATTGATACTCAGTTATTGGAAGCATGTTAAATCGTTAGTCAAAATTTATCCGTTGATGCCCCCAGAAGTTGATGATGTCATCTTATAGTTTTGTCGAATAAATGTAATTTAAATGTTAAAAAGTTCTCTTCAATTTTACGATTTTTCAATTTTTCAAATTTTCACGTCAGTAAATTTTCATTTTTCCGATTTCTGAAGTAATCTTTTTTCCCATCTCTCGACTTCCCAAAGTTTCAATTTTTTACTTCTTCAATTCTTCAATTTTTCGATTTTTTAGGTTTTTGATTTTTCAATATTTCGGTTTTTTAAGCTTACGATTTTCGATTTTTCTTTTTAGTTTTTCGATTTCTTAATTTCCCAATTTTTTAATTTCTCAATTTTTTGGATATTTCTTTCAGTTTTGGGATTTTTTAATATTTCGATTTTTCGACTTTGCGGTTTTTGGACTCCTGGATTTTTTGATTTCTCGATTTTTTACTTTTTGGATTTTCGATTTTTCGTTAAACTTTAGATTTCTCAATTTTTCGATTGTTTTATAGTTCGATTTCTCAATGTTTCAACTTGTCGATTTTTTAATTTTTCAATTTTTAAAATTCTAGGTTTTTGGATTTCTCGAGTTTTCAGTTGTTCTATATTTCAATTTTTCAATTTTTTGATTTATCGAATTCAGATGTTTCGATTTCCATTGTTCAATTTCTCGATTCATCAATTTTTCAATTTTTTACTTTTCTTTTGGGTTTTCGACTCGTCGATTTCTCGATCCTCTGATTTTTCAATTTCTCAATGTCTCAGTAAGTTTTTTAACTTTTCGATGTTTCGATATTAGGATCTATTGGTTTTTCGATTTTTTACTTTTGAGCTTTTCAATTTTTCGAGGTTTCGATTTTTAAGGTTTTCCAATTTTCCAATTTTTTAAATTCTGAAGTTTCGATTTCTCGATTTGTCGATTTTTCAGTTTTTTGATTTTTAAATTTTAGATTTTCGAGTTTTTATTTTTTGATGTTTAGATTTCTCGATTTTTCAATTTTGTGATACTTTGATTGTTCAATGTTTGAAATTTTAGATTTTTTTTCAGTCCTTTAAAATTCCTATTTTCAAATTTTCCAATTTTGACGTTGCTAAATTTTCAGTTTTCCGATTTCTCAATTAATCTATTTTTGATTATCCCATTTCTCGACTCCCCCAAATTTCGATTTTTCACTTCTTCAATTTTTCGATTTCTCAATTTTCCAATTTTTGCAGTTAAGATCCGCCCCCTTGGTTCACGGCGAATAAAAAAAAATCATCACAATTGAGACAGGGCGGGTGGGCGGGCTTACATTTTACCTTCTTGTGGAATGCAAAACATGTTTTAAGTATCGTGTTATCGAAAGAAAAGTGTCTATATTTAGAAAAGATGGGGGCATGATTAAGCCCCACCCACCCGCCCGTACGTGAAATGTGATGCATTTTTCATTCGTTGTCAGTTCGAGGGGTGGAGCTTAATTACAAAATCCATATTTCTTTAGAAAAAATTATCATTTTAAACATGTTTTAAGTTTCTCATTACGAAAAGATGACTACGTATATTTAGGAAAAAATGACTCAATATCAGCCCCGCCCTTTCAGTTGTGATGAATTTTTTTATTAGTCGTGAGCCTGGGGGCGGAGCGTAATTGGAAAATCATTTTAAACTTGGTAGAAGTTTCTAAGAATAAAAGAAATCATCACAATTGAGATGGGGTGGGTGGGCATGATAACTGCTTAATCTAATTTCGGATGTTATTGTTTCTCGATTTCCAGCTCGCTGATGGGGGAGGTGTATTTACTTTATTCGGGGCAGCAATCTCGTGTTGGAATTCATTTTTCAGTATTTCAAATTAAAAGTTTGTTTGGGTTTTCTTTCGGATGCGTGAATGTATTTTCGTAATTTGTCGAGCGGCTGGAATAATTTGTTTCATAGAGTTGGAACTTTCTTGATTAGTATCGAAGGGTCCGTTTCAATTTTCCTAGGTTACAAAAGATAACTTCGGCTTAATCCGACATCGGAGTGATGCAGACGCTTGGAAATCCGAAACTGATCGATGCTGATGCATACTGATTACATTGTAGCTTTGTTGTGACCGCTTTCTTTGAAAATGTGCTAAAGTTCAGCGATTTTTCTTGTTTCTTTATCGGCAGGATATATGGCATAACGAGAAAATGGTGGATGCGCCGGGATAGTTGTGCAACACTTTTACTTTTTATTCTCCTTATCGCATTTCCACCCCATTATTTCCAAACAGAAGTCGCGACTCATTAAAAAACAGTCAAGTCAAAAATTGAATGATGCTTCCGAAATCTTCGACTGCATTAAGAGCATCGGATAAACACGCCAAAACCGCCACTAAACCGCTTAATCTAACCCAACTCGGAGATGATGAACGCTTTTAATTAAAGTCTGAAACATTCATAACAAGTAGAACATGTCTTAAAATTAATATTTCAGACTATAAGTTAACATGGTTTTATATTCTCGCTGGTGGCGTCCACAAAAATTTGAAATTTTAATTTAGGGGTAATGGGGGCGGAAATAGTCTACACGGGGGTGTACTTAAGGGTAACGTCTGTCGACCACTTTACTTCTGAAGCGGCCACTGACTCCATTACAGCTTAAAGTGCTTACGTAATCGAGCTTTTCACTGGAAAGCGTGACTTCTTTGCAGGTTAGAATTGTGGCCGTTGTGTCTAATATGCTTTCTAGGAGGCGGCGATGTGATTGATCTTTGACGTTGCATTTTGTTTCGCGACCCGCCCCGTTCAAGGTCGCTACTATACTACAAATGTAAAAACGTCTTCGACCTTTGACTTTTACGCGATTAGCGAGCAATTTGTCAAACTCAGCGGCTTCACCCACCCGTCTGGAGAATTCCTTTTCGAACCATTTGGCCCATTAACGGTCGTCTCGATTCAGATACTCGGGGGCGGGCGCCTAATTCGCGCGGAACTCGGGGGCGGCGCCGTAAAAATGTAAAATAAGTGTAAAGTGGCATTTATCTTTGTGAGGCACATACGTGCTCTCTACTTCATCTTTCTTATCTCGTATCGGGCCGCGAAGGGAAAAGTTTTTTGCGTGTCGTCGTTACGGCAATCCTTAACCCACGGTGACCGATAAATCATCTAACTTCGAACGTAATCACTGATGAGGGTGTCTTTACGCATGAAAACCACGTTCACCACGAGATCTGTGGGGGAGGATGGTATTGACCCACGTGATATGCAGAGGAGGGCGGTGTAACGTTTAGCGCTATTTTTATTAGTGTTTTACGCTATTTTTATAGGAGATGGAGCCGTTTTTTTTCAAGGCTGTGCGATGTGCGTTAATTTTATAAGGGTATTTTTATATCGGGCGGAAAAGTCGATTACGTGTTGGATTTAATGACGTGTCATAATTGAACCATAAAAATCTGTTGACGTTCGCGTGTTAATGTTTTCCTCGTTAACTGTTTAAAATGACGTAACTGGATTATGTAATTGAGAAAGTAAGTCCTTTCGTACACTCATTTGCTCATCTGTTTATTCAAGCACGAACACACCAATACCGATTTGATTGTGCTAGAAGAAACCTCTGAAACTCTGAAATTAGAAATCCGCTACAATACTCCCTTTTGAGGTCGCGCCTGGAATTAAATCCTAACCAGTTAATTAGTAACCAAACTGATATGCAATAATTCAAAACAATGGAATCAAAACTGTATACATAAAGTGAATGCGGAGTTTATTTTATCATTTTGTCCCTTTCACAACCGGCAGTCAACTCAAAGCTTTTCCATTATCTGTCATCCCCTCAAACGATCCACTGTTACATCATAATTAACCCGGATTAGTTTGCCTACCGGAGCCCGGAAACTAATCATTGCACGTTTAACGATTTGTCCTGGATGCGGTTAATTTTCATTAATAGAGCTCAACTAAGCCAGTCCGCTGCATGCATGAAAGTGGGGCATCGTAATAGAATTATTAATCACACATTAAACGATGATAAAAGCTGCGATAACAAAATCATAAATCTCGTACGTGCAAAATGGAAAGTGTGAAGGGAAAATTTTAGTACCGTTCGGGGTTAATTGACACACAAAAGAAACATGTGTCAATTAGCCAGTCAAAACGGCTTGACTTATAACCCACTCAAAGCTCGTCCAGTGAAAAATTTATTTTTCAATAGCGAAAGTGGTCGTTCATAAATACCGAGAAAACAGCCTGAACCAACAACTGCCTCACGATTTACAGCTTTATTTACAAGTCGCGAAGTGCCGTTCCGATCTCACGACTCGAGAAAATTTTTTGATAGTTTTATTGGGCGAACTTTTACCTGTAAATACTGATTGGCTTGGAACTTCGCCGATAAACTAGGCGAGTTATTTAAAAGCCGAACTTCATCAACTCCAACTCGGAGGATTTGGGAAAGTTGACAGAAGCCCGATATTATTGTAGGCGCTTCCGGAAAATTGAAAAGCACGAAAAAATCCCTCGATCGGATTTTTGCGCTACGTGACGTAACACTAGTTGGGAATTCTTTGCCTAATCTTGTCGAGATGAAGGAAAAAACACGGGCGAATGTTTGCAGTGGAGGCGGCACTAATTGGATAAACAAACTGATAAAGAATAAATCGATAATTCAGGTTGGGCGCAGCTGCAGCGGGCCTACGGGAGATTAGATTTTTAATTGATTCTTATGAAAGCGGCTGATTAAAAACAAACTTTCAAAAATCAAGCAGGGGGAGGTGAAAGTTGGGTAAACAGTCGGAGTTAGATAAACACGGAGTTACAGGCTAGTAAGTTATAACAAAGTCCTGAAGATTATGATTTGAAATGTTCATGAAGGGCTCATTAAAATGCATAAAGTTTCGAAGCTTAGTTCGGCGCCACGGCGAGAGTAATTGCAACTTCTTTATTTTGTTGGGGATTGTTAACTTACCGCTTATAGCTGCGACTTCTTGATGCGAGCTGGATGTGCTTCTGCAAACAAAAAATATAGATTGTACAATCAGAAAAACAGACACAGATCGGGGACTAGACAACATTTTTACTTCCCGGGTGTAAGCGACTTTTATGTTTTCTCGACCTTCATGACTCCTACAATGCAAACACATAGGTCTCGTGTTTCTGTCTGTCTGTCTGTCGTCAGTTACCTGTCCATCATTTTTACGCGTTAAACTACCAACTTTATAATCGCAATTTTTATTGCTGACTGTTGTTATCATCTCCACTATTCCAGAGTGATCAAGTTTGTCATGTGAAACCAACTCAACGTTGTCATTTTCAGGCTTTTTATTTCTACTTTAAGCTCGAGATATTGCAAAAATAGTTTCGGATATTCCATTTTCCATTTGCTTAAATTCCTTTGATGTTATTTCTATACGTGATAAAATCATATTCTTGATGTTCTAAATTTTGTTAAACGACTAGAAAGCTCAAACATTCAAAATACATATGCTCTGATCTGTGTATATTACAAACTTTATTCCGAATAAATATAGAAGAAAATGTTTTACTCCAAATACAATTCATAGTAACTCTCTTTCTATTGTGAAGTATTTTAATTCGACTGTACTGAGTGTTCTGCTCGCAAAAGCAACTGGTTTATCATCTCCGTTACAGAGTACAGCTCCTAATGCAATGGAAAAAACGTCAATTTTTTAAATAAAAGTGTTATTTTCTGCAAAAGTTGTATAGTGTGTAAAATTGGTGGTTTTATTAAAGCATTTTGGGCAATTCCACGAAAATGTCAAACTCAGCACATTTTTTTTGAAAATTGTTAAATTAATCTAAATCTTAAAATTAGTATTTCTAAAAACTTTAAATTTTACTGGAATATATTTGCTTTTACAATACCATAACACCCACAGTAAAAATTTCTTGTTATTGAGGAATAATAAAATTGTTCAAAGAAATGATAAATATTATATCTTCTTTAACATTGCTAGAAACAAAGTAAATATCTTGATTTACTTACAATCTAAAGCATGGTCGTAAAGAGTGCACCTTTATTGACAATAATGTCCAATCAATACTTATCCCAACATCATCTTTAAAAAAATATTACACTTCTTTCTTCTGATATATGTGATAAAAAAAGTTAAAATACCATGAAAATAAAAAGGAGAAAAGCTAGAAAAGACAAAATGAAAAACAAATGGAAATTTCAAATGGTGGTAATGTCATCAAGTAAATAAATTGTAAATTCGGTAAGTTTGAATATTTTTTCTTTTAGCACTTGATCCTTTTACTTTTGTAACATTACATACATTTGTTTATTTCAACTTACAGAGGTTTTCATAAAAAAATAAAATTTGCAAAATCAAATTTTATAATTCTCGAAAATGCTGGAAATGTTTCATTGTACTTCATGGACGAGGCAAGTTCTGTCTAAACAACTTTCGACCAACTTTTTCTTTTGTTTAAAACACGAATTTGCAATTTTTCTTACTTTCGTGGCAGCTAATATTCACAAGTTCGCGTAAGTAACGATGACATCGTGTAAGCAACCCAATTTTTTCTCTTTTCAGACATAATCAAAATTAAACTTCTTCTCGGTTTTTGAATGCCCGAAAATTATTTTTTTTTATCAACATGACTGTTTTTGTGTGATAATTCACAATTCCATAGAAAATAAAGAAAAGTTATCAATTCCAGAGAAGGCAGGTCCAAAGGTTTCGCGTAACGCAAAACTTTAATTAAATTTTGACTAAATTATAAATGACTTTAGTAATATCAAATTATTAAGAAAAAAGAGAAAACAAATCTCTACAATTAGGTTAAAAACGAAAGTGTAAAAACACTTATGAGGACCGTTTAAAATAAAAAATCCATACGATTTTAGCCTAAGCAACGGTGGAATTGCCCTTTTTCAATGTTTCAAAAGAGTTTTGAGATTCCACGTTCCAGTTAAATTAGACATTTTTCTTGCTTTAAAACCTATGTATTAATTTTGTAAAGTTTTATTTTTGAAAGCATTTTCTCTTCTTCGTTTCCAATTTTTTCTCAAAACAATACGATAATGCTTCAAACATGTTTCACTTCGTAATTTATTGTATAGAAATTTGGACTCCACCGGGACGAATAAAAAAAATTTGCCGAAAGCTGAGATAACAATGAGAAATCACAAGTAAAAACTCAAAATGTTTTGCATATTTCGGGTATATTTGGGAATTTAAATCGTCACTATGGAAATTACAATTTAACACCTTTAAATTTGGTTTTTACAAGATTAATAGGGGCAAAATCAGTTTTATCTTAACTACTACTAGGACCGCCCACCCGCCTGTTATTTCCTCAAAGGGTAGTACTTGCTAGTACTTGCCAAGATAACTCTTATTTTGGCAGATGACATATCCTCTGAGAAAACAGGGGTGGGTGGGCGGGGCTAGTACTTGCTCAGATAAGACGGATTTTGGCAAACACCACATCCTCTGAGAAAATAGCGGGCGGGTGGGCGGCGCTAGTAGTTGCTAAAATAAGACTGATTTTGGCAAATGCCATTCTCTCTGAGAAAATAGGGGCTAGTAGTTGCTAATGTAAAACTTATTTTGGCACATTTTGTTCGGCAAAATTTTGAGATGATGTCATCAGTTTCTGGGAGCGGGTAAAGAATAAATTTTACTTAACGATTTACCATGATTACGATAACCTTAAGATATTTACAAGATTTCCGAGCAATCGGCGTTCCAGTTTCAAAGTTATATTGCAAAATATTCTTATTCAGTTTTAATTTTTTTCTAAAAATTCTGGATGTACACGAGTATCTTATTTTATAAAATTTTAAAAAACTTTAATTAAAAATTTTGGAGATGACGTCATCAAATTATTGGTGGGGAAAATAAGCCAAATTTTGGTTAGTATTTAACCATTGTTGGAAATTTCCATATGCAATCATCTTAAAGAGGTACCTGGGGTTGTGAGAGGTGGGGGTGTGTCCCACCCACCCCATTTTAGTCGGTACCGGTACACACAATTTTGTAGTCTTAAGTTCTGGAATAAATCCCAAGCAAAACGGTCGCACTGTTATCACTTTGGTCCTTCGAAGCAATTTCTAAAATTTTACAACAATCGGTCCAGCAGTTTCGGAGACAACATGTCTAATAAAAATGAATACAGACAGACAGACAGACACAATTTTCTCAGAGGGCATGGCATTTGCTAAAATCAGTCTTATCTTAGCAAGTACTAGCCCCGCCCACCCGCCCGCTCCTTTGTTAGGGTGTATGACGTCTGCCAAAATCAGTCTTATCTGAGCAAGTAGTAGCCCCGCCCACCCGCCCCTATTTTCTCGGAATGTATGACGTCTGCCAAAATCAGTCGTATCTGAGCAAGTACTAGCCCCGCCCACCCGCCCGCTCTTTTCTCAGGGTGTATGACGTCTGCCAAAATAAGACTTATCTTAGCAAGTACTAGCAAGTACTGCCCTCTGAGGAAATAAAGGGTGGGAGGGTGGGGCCAGTACTTTCTAACATAAGCCTTGTTTTGGCAAATCACATGTCCTCTGAGAAAACAGGGGGCGGGTGGGTGGGGCTAGTACTTGATAAGATAAGACTGATTTTGGCAGACGTCATACACCTTGAGAAAAGAGCGGGCGGGTGGGCGGAGCTAGTACTTGCTCAGATACGACTGATTTTGGCAGACGTCATACATTCTGAGAAAATAGGGGCGGGTGGGCGGGGCTACTACTTGCTCAGATAAGACCTATTTTGGCAGACGTCATACACCCTAAGAAAGGAGCGGGCGGGTGTGCGAGGCTAGTACTTGCTAAGATAAGACTGATTTTAGCAAATGCCATGCCCTCTGAGAAAATTGTGTCTGTCTGTCTGTCTGTCTGTCTGTCTGTCTGTATTCATTTTTTTTAGACATGTTAACTCCGAAACTGCTGGACCGATTGTTGTAAAATTTTGTACATATATTAGAAATATCATGTAAAACGACATACCCTCTAAGAAAGTAAAGGGTGGGTGGGTGGGGCTAGTACTTGCTAAGATAAGACTTATTTCGGTAAATGACATCCTCTGAGAAAATAGGGGGCGGGTGGGTGGCCGTAGTACTTGTTAAGATAAAACTGTAAAAACTTGTGAAATTTAAAGGCAAAATTTTTAGATGACATCATCAGTTTTTGGAAGAGAGAGAATAAATTTTGCTTAACGATTTACCATGATAACAAAGTTATATTGCAAAATATTCTTATTCAGTTTTAAATTTTTTCTAAAAATTCTGGATGTCTAGGGTGAAAATTTGACACAAATTCACACATCACAAGTACAAGAGTTTCTTATTTTATGAAATTAAAAAAACTTTTAGTTATAAATTGGTTGGTGGGGATAATTATCCAAATTTTGGTTAGTATCCACATAATATTTCTAACATATGTACAAAATTTGACAACAATCGGTCCAGCAGTTAATGAGATTAAGTGTCTAATAAAATTGGATATAGATAGACAGACAGACAGACAGACGGAAACGGGGACCACCTTTTTCGTACTCTAGAGGTCATGACACGTCGAGAAAATATGACAGTGGCAATTCGATGGACTCGATTACTACACTATACTTCCTTACCAGTATCTCGGGAACCTAATGATTAAGCCCCACCCACCCGCCCCTATCGCAATTCTGATGAATTTTTCATTTATTCTCAGTTCGAAAGACGGAGCTTAATTACAAAATCGATATTTATTTAGAAAAAAATACCATTTTAAATACGTTTTAAGTTTCTTATTGCGAAAAGAGGACTATACGTATATTAAGGAAAAAAAGACTCAATATCAGCCCCGCCATTTCTGTTGTGATTTTTTATTAGTCGTGAGCCTGGCGGCGGGGCGTAATTGCAAAATCGATTTTTTCCTACACAAATTTACCATTTTAAACTTGGTAGAAGTTTCTAAGAATAAAAAAAAATCATCACAAATGAGATGGGGCGGGTGGGCGTTATCTATATTTTGCCTGTTTTTCTTAATAATATACATGGTA